TGAAAAAATGCAAAATATTAAAAAAAAGTATATATTTTTTAATTTAATTATTTATAACTTTTTACTACTAATATTGTTTATAATTATAAAAATCAGGTTTGAAAATATCTATCTTCAAAATTACTATTCTACACCTACTACTGAACATTCAACTAGTCATAAAACTATTAGTACAAATGATACATCAATGTTTGAGGATTATATTAACGATTTTTTTGAATATACAATTAAAAGTTCTCAAGCTAATGAATATAATACACTTTATAAAGTTAATCAATATTTAGATGAACAAATTGCAACTAAAACTACTAATGTTCTTGAATAGTGGAAACTTAATGAAGATCATTTTCCAACTTTGTCAGCAATAGCTCGAGACTTTTTAGCAATACCATCAACCAGCATTGTATCTGAACAAATGTTTAGCTGTGCAGGGCGTATTATCGATGATGATCGTGCTTCATTAGACCCAGACACAGTAAAAGCATTAATGTATCAGCAGAATTGGTTAGAAGCAGCAACAAAGTTTGAATGGGACTTATAATCTAGTAAAATGTAAGAATTTATATTTATAACATCAACTTGCTTTTATACACTTATAATTATTCAATAGCACTAATCAAATAACATTTATCACATTTTTTGCTGTTAAAATTTTTTATTTAGAGTTGGATTTGGAATGTTCATACAATATCATTCCTTTTTTTTAGCAGAATTCAATCATACAATTTTCTTTTTTTCTATTTTTTTTGATTTTGATTGAAATTTTTTATATATGTTGTAAGTGGAAATGGAACCATAATTGAATTCAGAATCCACTTAGATTAGTACGGAATAATTATACTAAAAATTCCAACCTTAACCTTAAAAATTCCGAATTAACTTAAATTCTATTTCCACCTACAACATATATACTAAGCAAATTATATCTATAGCATTTCATTTGAAGTAATGCTTAACGTTAAATAGGATATTAAATAAACTGTGTATAATACATCCTATCTCTTACTTGCAATAAGCTTTCTTCACTTAAGCAGATTATTAGTAATAGCTAAATAATGCATTTTTATGTAATTAAAAAAAAAAAAAAAAAAAAAAAAAAAAAAAAAAAAAAAAAAAAAATTTATAACTATTTAAAATTCCTTATTAAACTCTGGTAAAAAAGTATCTATGTTGTGCTTGTATGTATGCACTGATCTATGTTAGCTTTTGATTTTTGATCTTTTTTTGTACTTTTGGTTTTTTTCTCTTCTGATTTTTTGCCGGTATGATGAATAGATAATCATTGATCGTCAAAGAACAAACGAAAGAACCATGATGAAATGATTTATTTGATCATCTGATTTTTTTAACTTATTATTTGCGTTGGAGCTCAGCTGCTTAACTGCCCCAATGTTTATATTAATTGTTTATTATTTGCCATTGCAAGCTCATAGGAAGACTTTGTGTAATTGGCTGTTTAATTTTACATTATTTATATAGTTTATAAGATAATTTTTTTTTAATTAAAAATAAAAAAAAAAAGTATGAAGAATAAATAACAAAGAAATATATTGAAATTTTCATTAGGGTTATACGCACTTTATATATTAAACTAAATTCATAAAAAACCTATTTAAACTAAAATTTCTTACTTATTTCAATATTATAAAATGATTTTAATATAATTAACTATTTAAGTCTGTTTAATTTTACATTATTCATACAATTTAAACTACTTTTTAAAAAACAAACTATAAAAATTAAATATAAAAAATATATATAATAAGAGTTATTAAAGTTGTAGGTTTCTATCATAAAACTAATTAGAATCAATTTTCATTTTAAAAAACAAACACAATAATAACTTCTTAAAAAAATTAATAAAATTAATTTATTACTAATTATTTTTACTAATAAACCTACGATTCTATTAAACTTTCTATATACCATATTCCTCCAAAATTAAGCACCACCTACAATTCGTATATACCCAAAAATAATCACCTCTTATATAATATAGATAAATAACAAAATATCAAATTATTCGAATTATTGAATCAAATTAAACCCAAAAATAAGCAACCTTATAACAAAAAATTAATACTTATTTTCAGAGAAATATAGTGCTTCTTTTTTGTTTCTAATTCATATTTTAATTTTTTTAAAAAAGTACTCTAAACAATATAAATTATTTAAAATTAAATAGACTTAACCAACAAATTATATAAAATCTTCCTATATACTTCAATACGCAAAATTATATCTCACATATATACCTTTATCTAATCGATATATTCAATTAAAAAATATGTTACAATGAATTACGTACATACTTATGTATAACAAATATTAAATCAAATGACAGATGAAACTAAAAATTGTAGGCGGGCGACGAAGTCGCCCGCACCATTTAACATTACTAGTTTTTAAAAATAAATAAATATAACCGCAGAAAATCATCGGCCCTACTGATAATTGATCGATTATATATACTTGAGCTTATAAATTATATGCTTGATTGATCATATTCAGTTTATATAATTGATTTTTGATCAATTAAGCAAAATTTTTTTTGGTCAATCATTGAGCAATGATTTTTTTGTCGAGTCAATTCACGACATGCACTATATTATATATACCGTAAATTCTTGAAATAGCAGGCAGGGGCGGTATTTTGAAAATCGCGTCCCCTAAAAATAGCATTGGTAGTTTCGAAATAACGCCCATGCGTGCCCCAAAATAATGCGCACTCCATCATATACATTAATATCACGTTATATGCAGAG